AAATAATTACAAATGGTATTCGACGTACTTTAAAGCAAAAGTGCAGTAGTTATTAGATGATTGATTTCTGACACTTTGGTGTGTAACTGCTTATAGAGAACCCGCTTTGTGGTAACGGCCTCAATCGGTTGGGTACCACTGTCTTAGACGGAAGCGTTGCAAGCTTGCTGTGAACCGGCTAACAGCCGATCCGTCGACTCAGCTGTACCACCAATTGTCATTGGTAAATGCCTTAGCTTGTGCTCCTCCCCAGCTGTCGAATTGCATTGGAACTACTTGCAGAACGCCATGCTATTTTCTGGCTTATTACCCTTCAAAGAGTTGGATCTCTGCGCGCTCCCTGACACTGTTCGATCGCCGCCGAACTTTCGCACATAACTGCTAAATGAACGAGCTGCCCCACTCCATCAGCCGTCAGCTCAAACGAAGCCTTCGCGTTGGTTGTGAAGATTTGTGGTCTCAACGCGCTTTGGAGTTGGAAACCGCCGCCCACTCTGCAAATACTTGCAGGTTAATTCAGCGAACACAGTGGCTAAATTCAAGATGCTACTAGACAAACAATTTGCAGAGGCAAAGTACAGAGAACGAAACGATAAATAAAAAGTTCATGTCCGAAAACGACGAATGATGCAGCTACACAGAGCAAACTCTACTCGCTGCTTCGCACCAGTTCTCAGTTCTCGGGTCACTGGTCACCGAAGATCTGGTGTTAGTGATGTTATCTATGAGGCGGATGGTTCACATCACCAACTTGTAGAGGTGCATGGGCAGATGGGCTGAGCATTTCCAATCTCAGTTCAATTCTACCCGGTCGTCCATTTTCGCATTCAGCTCGGCCTATCGTACGCCGTGGGCCGTGTCACTCGAACCACTCATTGAGGCCGAAGTTCGCCTTGAAATTAGACGTTTGAAGCGCTTTAAGGCTGCTGGTTCAGACGACCTACAGAACACTTCAAGTATGGTGGTGCGGAAATTGTCACTCAGCTAACACCCCTATTTCTAATAATCTGGAGCTAAGAAAGAATTCCCTCTTCATGTGGAGAGTCAGTTGTTTTCCCAGTGTTCAAGAAAGGTTCCCGGACTTTCCTTGTCAAGCACAGAGGAATCAGTTTGTTTCATTTGCTTTTAAGCTGCTAGTATCCATTATTTTGCACAGGCTATCGCTAACCCATGAGGCGCACTGTCGGGAGGAGCAAGCTGGTTTCCGCCCTTGCCGAGGTTGTGTACGTCAAATATTCACGCTTTGTCAGCACCTTGAACATCGCCAAATGTACCGCAGTCCCACCACCATCGTCTTCTTGACATTCGCGCCACCGATTCGATAGATCGACTTGCCTTATGGCACTGCCTAGTAAAAATCGGAGTCCCAGAAAAGTGCCTCGCTATCTTTCGGGCCCTATTTCTCCATACGACAAGCTCTCCGCAGTCTTCCCTGTCGCCACTGGTATGTGACAAGAATGCGCTATGTCTCCATTACTTTACAACTTCGCGATCGAAGATATCCTGTGTTAGGGGCTTTAAAGTGTTTTCAGTATTCTGGAACTGAGCTCCTTACAAGTAATCGTTCATCCGACTTAGATTACGCTGATGAAATCACCTTTTTCAGTGACTACCCTCATGGTATGCAATTGATCCTTGACCGACTGGTGGTTGAAGCGTCTAAGTATGGTATGGTACTTAGCCCCTTCAAACTGCAAAGTGCTGGCACAGAATTGGCTGCTCGCCATCGAAAGCACTCAGATTGTGCAGGTGGATAGTTTTGTTTTCCTTGGGAACAGTGTCTCTACCGATGGAACTGTTGGAGTGGAGCTGTCTCTTCGTATCTCTTAAGTCCGCTCAGCCTTTGCCAATTTGAGACACCTGTGGCTTCGTCGCGACATCTCGCTTTTGCTAAAAGGCAGTGTTTACAATGCCCCTGTTCGCACTATACTTTTGTATGGATGCGAATCCTGGCCGATCTGAGTAGATGACATGAATATACTTTCGGTCTTCGACAACGGCTGTCTGCGGAAGATCGCCCTTGTATGGTGGCAACACCGGATGCGCAATAATGGTATCAGACAACGCGACTTTGACAAAACGTGTTCTATTGCGCCAGTTGAGATAGCCTGGCTACGTTCTGCACATGTCTGGCAAGCGATTGCCACATCGCGCACTATTCGTGCATGCAAGGCTAACTTGGAATAGGTCACGTGGGGGTCGGCCTACCACCTGGCTTCAAAGCATCAAATTGCTAACATCATGTCTATAAATTGCTGGTCCAGGACGCCTTTCCGATTGAGGACCAAAAGATGAACAATGCCTATGGGTTACAACACTTGCAACAAAGAAACAAAACCGGTTGAAGTGGGAACAATTCTCGCAATTCTGCATACACTCCCGATTTCAAAAGTACTAACTCCCTAATAATGAAATTGAACTAATACACGGCATGTGAAGAAGACAACTACTTGCTTCACCCACGGGTGCCTTTGACTCCTACGTCCTAACAGCTTGAACTATGCTAGTGTTTTCTCAACGGTGCTGGCCTTCAACGTCCGCCATCGCCTTCTGGTCATTTCTGAGACTGCAACCCAAGTGATGCTTCACTGTTGAATGCATCTTGAAACTACCATTTCGGTAGAATCGACTTTCGTGCTTCAACTAAGCTTGACGAACTTCCACTTACCTATTCACTGTTCTTTGTAGGGCTTATTGAAAGCTATTCCCGTCCGCATTCTGATCGTTCAACTCAATCGGCTGTGACAACTGATGATGCATTTCAACTCGACATCACTGCTTCACGAACTAAGCATACCGCTGATCAGTAGTCAGTCATTTTTGAGGTTGAGTACTTCTCCGGGACAGAAGGATTGCGTGCTTTGCGAGCATGCACAATACCATGGTCAGAACCGGGACAACTGCTCCAGACCGATCCAGCATGGAATAGTGCACTATCAACTAACTACCTGTCGATTTGGACATCAGTATACACCTCTCTTTCTCTTTTTCTTTTTTTCTTTCTCTCTCTCTCAAGTGATTGGCTGTTGTTTGATATCCCCGGTGTGGCTGCGCTTGATGTGCATGTTGACAAGGTGCCTACCTGTCTATTACCCACTACCTCGTCCATACTGGCTCCAGGAGACAGTTGGTCGTTGCTGGTGGGACGGGGTGCACAGTTCTTGTGGCCGTGCTAGGCTCAAAGAGCGGTTCCATGCACTCAGTGTGGAGCGGACTACGGTCCAGCCACCGCCTTGTGTGCGCTTGATTCCCAACTACAGTGTGCTTGTGTTTGTCTGTGAAGGAGTGTGGGCCGGCTCCGTTGATGAAACGTGGCTCCCATCCGCATGGGTCCCGGTCTTATTCCTTCGGGTTTACACTGGATATGGAGTGTGGTTGGAGCTGTGGGTGGTGCAGCGCAAGCCATCCATGGTCCCTCTGAAGACGCAGGCGTCCTGTGGCTTGCCACAGTGACAGGCAAATCCGAAACCGGATGCCGCCAACCATACACCCTCTGATCGTTGACATGCTGAGTTTAACCCGTGGTGATGCACATTGTCTTCTGCAACCGTGCGGGCGCCGCTGCTCGTTTTGTGCAACCTATCCTGATCGTCCTTTACCTGAAAGGCTCCTTTGATACCCCTGTTATTATCGTGCTTGTCTACTCCGCCCTCTCTTGCTCTGCAGGGGTTTATCAGAAGTATCCGACGTTAGGCGCGAACTGTGGTGTGTATGCTGACTCAGGCCTTTTGTTAAATCTCCAACTTCGTTATCAGTGGTTTTGGCATGTCTCAAAGCTATTTGACCGAAAAAAGCGGATTAAGTTGAGTACTACGGTTCGGAATTTTCATGCCCTTTACTTCATACTTATCTGGTCTAACCCTTCGACTGTCTTATATTCATTTTTATTTTCAGTCTCTTCCCTAGATTTTTCATAGTCCTAGTTATCCACGCATTTTTTTTTCTGCATTTTTCTTGATTTTGCGCTTTGGCAGGTCCATGAGGGTTCCTTTCCTAGAGCTCTGTTCGAGCTGGTTGATGTGGCTCTTTCACAGTAGTGGGCCAACTGGTACACCCTACATAGCACTGTCACCACTCGTGTTCTTGGTACAGGCGACCTGCCTTTGATGGTCACGGTGATAGTCTGACTACTGCGCATCTCTGGGTTGCAATGTTCATTTTCCTCGAGCAACATCCGATTACTTTCTCGGATTTGGTTTTATAACACCATACGCTACACGTTACTGTCTGTTCAGCGCTTCAGCGGAAGTACAGCCGTTTGGACACCGCTGGCTTTCGATAATCTTGTAGTTCCGTAGAAATGTATCCAATATTCCTGCTATCGCTTTTTCTCCGATGCGTGAACAACGGAATCCATAAATTGTACCTATCATGTTATTGCAAGCTGTCAATCAGGCTGTTGAATCGATTCACAACAGGTAGCGCAGGTGAATCGGCATAGTTCTTTAGCCGGCATACTGACGATGCTCTCTAACCAGTTACGTCCGCCCAAGCCAATAACCTTTGGCACGTAGTTGCGTTCTTTTTCTATCCATGAAAGTACGCTATCTCAGCCTCTTTGTTATAACTGCAGTAGGATTATTCATCGTGTTCTTTCTTTAGTATGTTAAAAAATTTTACCACGCCCGAGACAGCTGCGAAGGAAGTAGATTCCATTCAGAGACTGTTGTACGTCCTATAAAACGCTTTGATACGTCACCTAGGCGCTCGAATCATACACGCATCCCTCCCAGTTCATTAAATTGTTCTCCATTAAATCCCAGGCCGACCGATCAGTTCAAATGACCGACTTTAATTTATCTTTATCGTTCGATATTGTTCCGACTAAACTACAGTTGTTTTCTAATCTGGTTACTAGTGCCTCCTCGCTTTCCCCTACTTCAGTTATGCTAGCATTTACATCCACCCTCGTTTAACCTTTGGTATATCTCACTAGGGCATTAGAATGCCTGTTTGTTTTTAAGCGTTCAACTAGTAACCACCTAATCCATTATTTACAGTGCTTTCCTAAAGCGATTACAGCCAACGGGACTTTGGTCTTCTTGGAATCTCCCGGACAGTTTACGTCGACCCTTTGACTCTTCCCTGTGGCACATTGGCTTTTCCATGCTCCGTTCATGGCCAGAGGGCTTGGTTACCGGTTTCAGTCCGCCAGATCCTGAAGTCAGCCAGTTCCTACGCGATTTGCTGGACTTCTTTACTCATCTGGGAAATTTTCCTCCCCTAGCGGATCCCCGTTTGCTGCTCGCAGTCACAGCCGAACAGGACGCGTATGTCCCACGACATGGAGTTGTCCCGTTGAACCAATTGTATTTGGGTTCAGAAATTCGTTTTCTTCCTCAATCTGGCCACGTCGGTGCCTACTTGCGAAACGCTGTTTGGACTGTAGACTTTCGGTAAGCATCATAAAGATGCATGCTCATTCTAAAATAAAGTACCTACATTTCTGACACGACAGAATTTCGTATATATACCTCTACAAGGGACTCAAATGACGTTTGTCGAATGGCTACCTGAAAGCTTTCACCAACCCATGTTTTGATATTCAGTTGCTCACGCTTCTCACTGATTTACGGAGATACTTCATAACAGCTTGGGGATCATTTTACTTCCAAGGCTCCTCATCAAGCATGTGTGGCAGATGTGTAGATATAGTTGGGCTCTTTGCTCGCAACAATCAATGTGAAATTGCACCGCAGTTTCGTTTACTTTAAAGCCGGCTACAGTCCAATCTTGCACCCCAGTCACTATACACGTAGATGCTCTAATACTGGACAATGCGTCCTGAAGAGTGTCGTTCGCGGAGCCCAGTACCTGGTATAGAAATTGTTTGTCGGTAATCCACACACCCCGGGTCCGAGTCTCCCCTCTGGCTACTTCTATCTGAAGCGGTCAGGCAAGGACGAATCTGGTCCTGTAGTGTCTTGTTCGGAGCCAACAACATTCACGCGAATTTATTATACATTATATTACCGCCGAAGACGAGCCGACCTCATGTTTGCTTGTGGCATACAACTGTGTTGTTGACTAATATCCAGTCACGGGCCTTAACCTAAAACTATCTCTGTCAATGCTAACGGTTGTTGTATGTTTTTAAGATGACCTCCAGGAGAATATGCCCCTCATTAGTGACCGCCTCTTTTGCGCCTCACTTTAACTATCAGTCGTTATGTACTTATGGCTGTCGGCCCTCGCAACATCATAATCTCTTCCAAGATGCAGGCAGTTGTTAACACCATTCTCGAATTTCAGGCTAATATATGCGCGACTATTTTGGCACCATACTTATTTTACTGAATCGTTTGGCACATTTTAGTTTACTCTTTTGTGTGCTTTTCCAATACTGGTCTCACGCTCCCACACACATGCGCCACTGGAAACAGTGAATCAATTCACTTATTATTTTGGTAGTTGTGTCACCTCTGGCGGTCACATCACTCGGGAATTTACTTTGTGTATCACCAAGGCCCGTGTAGCGTTTCAGAGACCCAACAGTTTACGGACATGGCGCGATATCAGTCTAGTCAGTGAAATGTAGAGTGAATGACGCTGTGATAAGGCCGGTGCTACTGCATGGATCAGAGATTTGGCCGGTTTGTACTGAATACATTAAATACTTGGTCTTGTTTGCCCACCGGTACTTGCAGGGTATTGCTCACATCTGCTGGGTAACACCGGGTTGGTTTTTTTTGTAAGAACCCTTCTGGTACCTCACTAGAGGGTTTGTTGGATTCGAACCGCTTGCTTTGACCAGGTCATGTTCTCTGTATGCCCGTTGATCGCCTTCAGTGCACATTATACAGTGTTGCTACATCAATTTGGTCGAAACCGTGAGGTCGCCAGTCGGTGACGTGGTTTAATGACTTCACTGTTGGCAGAGAAACGGATATTGGGTGTTAGTCGCCCGGAAACATTGACCGAAAGATTTTATCAAGCTTATGTGTGCCGTTTTTGTGGACAGGAGTCCTTAGATGGCTCACATCAGGAGTTAGGGATTTTGTCAGGCATGACGCACTAGCACTCCTTTATTCGCTTTAACGCATCTAGTTGTTTATTTTCTGTCCATCCCAATTCATTTTAGGCACTTTTTTCTTACCTCCATACTCTTTGTATGCTGTTTACATTTAGCCTCATTTTCTTACCATCGTTACTTATTGCTATCCTAGTGACCCGACTGTGGCGACTGAATCCACCGCATTTCGGTACCCTGACCTTAGTCGTTCAACTGAGGTGTGCTTCATACTGTGATTGATGTTGCACACACCATGCTTCTTCACCGCAGTTGGGTTACACCGACTTACACTTAAACCAGTGTTGCGGGCCCGTCAAATATCTCCGCAAAAATGCGCCAGAAACTCCGGCATAATGGCTATGGAAAGCGGGGTCCAATTCCCCCCCCCACAACGCAGCAGCATTCTGTCACTCCGAGATGCGGCCCAGGTGTTCTTTGAGAAACTACCACCTCGTTGTAGTAGCAATTTTTGCTAACTTAGTAACCCGTTGCATTGGCTGTGATTCGCCCTTTCTTGGTCGTAAATGAGCCTTCAGCGGGCCACCTGTCTTGCTTCCTCTTCACCTTCGTTGGTAGTCGGTCGGTCACGTGCTTTTGTGTGCGTCATTATCCGAGCACCATTCGCGTCTAAGTCACTAGTGCGCGTCTTCCGTAACCCTCTCTCGTGTGCGTCCGTTCCAAGGGCTCAGCGTCTACCCGAATACGTGCGGCTAAGATCGTTCTCACGCTCGCTCAATTTCCGTCTCACCCCGGGCTAAACTAACACCATCAGGTCAGCGCAAGTCCGTTCGATTGGCCAGCGTTACCATAGGCGTGCTCCAACCGTTCCAGTGACAATCTTATCAGACATCTACACAGCTATAACAGCGGCGTCCCTCATTTAGAACAACCGGATATTATTAATCTGGATCAAAACTATTCCACTTTGACTTGCTCAGTCGTGTTACACTTTTACATATTCCATATGAATTTTGCGTGTTTGTTTTCCTTCAAATTCAATGTTCCTTGGAAATTATTGAGATTACCTGTAGCTCAGGGTGTGGATGAGAACGTTGCAATAGTTGGAAGAGCAAGAAATCGCAGAGCGCGTGAGTTCCTCGAGGCCTGGCATTCTGGCCGGAACTCAATCAACAAACACCTGGAGCTGGTGGGTGTCTATGAAGCTCTGCAGGTTAAGCCAGCATTAGGCACTAGATCGACTAAGAGAAGAGGTGCCCACTCGACCGGCTCACGTGAATCGATCGAAGGCTGACATTCGAAGCAGGCAACAATCAATAGTCACTCGGATCTGGCATTGGTTTTCGAGGCTCCGCGAATCAGGACTGAATAGCCGCACTGAAGATGTTACCTAGTTTGGTAACGAAACGTCTGCAACAGAAAGGCCCAGTTTGGAGAACAGCACAATCCTCTCATCAATGTTCCTTGTTTGATATCCCCAGTGTGGCTGCGCTTGATGCGCAGCTTGACAAGGTGCATACCTGTCTAACACCCTCTACCTGGTTACTGGTTCAAGGAAACTGTGCATCGTTGCCAGGGGACGGGGTGCACGGTCCTCGTGGTCGTGCTAAGGTTAACTAGTTGTTCCACCCTGTGTGGAACGGACTACGGCCCAGGGACCGCCTTGTGTACACCTGGTACTCATGATTCCCTATCTAGATTTACAGGAATGCTGCTGCTGTGCATGTTGAAGGAGTGTGGACTGGTTCCGTTGATGAAATGTGGCTCCCATCCACATACCTCCCGGTGTTATTCCTTCGGGTTTACACTGGATATGGGGTGTGTGGACGGAGCTGTGTGTGATGCAGCGCAAGCCATTCATGATCCCTCAGTAGACGCAGGCGTCATGTGGTTGTCCTATGGAGGCCGCAGTGACAGGCTAATCCGGAACCGGATGCTGCCAACCATATATATCGAGATAGGGCCTCCGGCTTGCTAATGATGGAACCTGGTTACACAAATTGATGAGCAATAGGCGTGCCGATGGAGTGCGGATCCACTCTCTATACACAGGGGCGTGTGCAGTGTAGTGTGCTATCTGAAGCCAAACAAGCGCTGGTGCATCCGCGTTGTGCCATCTGTGTTGATATGTGTATACGAGCATGCGCTTAGCCTGGATTGGGCACATTGCAAGCTATTTCGCGGCTTTATTTCCCGTGATAGGTGACTTTTAGAACACTTACCAGCAATCATGCCTATATTCACATTTGTAAATGTGCGCGTTCCTCTCTATTCGTGCAGTTAATTCCTAACCCCCATATAGTTTTCTTTAACTTTTAACGCGGAGTCTTCTGCCCACTCTTTCTCCTGAAAAGACCGCCGCATCAGTTTCTACTTCTAAGGGCTGGGATACCAAAAAAATCGTTTCATTCTCGTTTGAGAACTTTACCCATGCCTTTATCGCCCGTTATCTTTTCGCAGTATTTTACCCCTTTTGATCCGATGATTTCCTACAATGTTCATACGACATTGCCACTTTTTCCCCTTAAGCCGAGCCATCGTGGACTGTCTCAACCGGCAAATCGAACTTCACCATGGCGAAACTGGGCCATTTGGCGCATCTCAGACCAGTCCTTTCGTCAAACGGAAACGTTGACCTCTCCCTTTTCCCTTGTACTTTTTTCACTCTGACCCTTTCTGCCTTTCGGATTATTTTGTCTGACATTCACCCTCATTTGTATCAATTTCTATTCTTGTTTCATTTAGATTTTGTCCGAAAGATCCGAGTGGTATCGACACCTACAAATGAATGATCTGTCTTTTCTGGGTGGTTTGCGGTACACATTTGTAGCGTTCCATTCTTGAGCGTCACAGCATCTCGCTGCGAAACGAGTGAAATAGGCTGTATCTACCTATATTTCACTTAGCTCGATCGCGTATTGTACCCGATTTGCCGTCTTATCACCGAAGTGACGCTACAACCATTTTAGACATACTTGGCCTAGCCGTCTGAGTTGTAATTTAAGTACGGATAGTATCCGGGCTCTCTTTTCCACATGAAATGGGCCACGCCCGCAGCACTTTAGCTTGGTTGCAATCGCTTGTGATGAGTGGCTGCGAGACATCAATGCGTTAGGTTTCTCTTGACCCTTTTGTTCTTTCGGTGGATCTTCTCTCAGCAATAATTTTGCACGTAAAATATAATTTGACTTACGGCATATAACTGAACGTAACTGGTATTTAGTCCAACCTGCAGCAACCTCTTATCAAATTGGTAGCTGCCTCAAATGTATCTAGGTGATACTTATAGACTCTAACAGAATCTCAGCTAGACTACCTGATCGCCGTGGCACCGCCTATTGTTCAGATGTTTGGGTATTACTTGTCAATTCGATTGCAACTTCTCCTACAGCCTCCCCATGGTCTTCGGCTACTCAGCAGTTACCGAGGTTCTGTATACTAGTGAAGACTGTCACCATGTCTCTCGTTTAGTTTTGGCTTTCGGTTAGTTATTGCTGAGAGCATCTACAAGCGGATGCTGACGCTGTCCACACTCGACAACCGACCAAACTAGTACTTCACGTGGAACCGTGCATGCTATGTCCCTTCAACTCGACACAGACCGCTTCTTTCAAGTAATTTGTTTTCCACTACCGGTATAGTGCGAGTGGAACAGAATTAAATAGACAACTCGGGGGTCACTCCTCCTGTACGTTTTGCATATGGACATGTTATCATATAACGGCATTTCTTCTTGATTTACTTCAATGCTAACAGTTTTGTTATTTCTGTCATCTCTAAAATTTTGGCTTCCGTTCTAGCTTCCACATCACTGCTCTGATCACTTCTCATCCCTGTACCCATCTCTGGATCTACCTGTCAGCAGGGCTGTGACTGGGTGCATGCGTGCTCACAGCGTCTATGGATACCTTACTCTGCACCACCCACGCATCTTTCTATTCATATTGTACCCGGGGATATAGGGGTCCGTTTGAGTCATAAGTGCTTTGTAGTACTTTGCGCGTCATCTGCATGATAGTATCTCAGCTACTAATGAGTTTGATGCAATCTGCACGCGAACTGTGCAAATCTGTGCAGAGGACTCTGCTCCAATGATATGGTCATGTTTTTGTTAGTAAAACAGTTCTGTTTTTAGCCATTAACTTTTATTTGTTCAACACAGTTATCCAAACATAGGTGAGTTGGTCGATGCGCTTACATTGTGAAAGGTCTTCGCCCACATGTTGCCTGTCACCCTCAGGCATTGCAATCTCATTTTTCCAATTCGTCATTTTTTCCTAATGAGCTTGTAAACTGTTATGTCGCCACTGACGCCTTCACCCTACGATCGCAAGAAGTCCAAAGATGCACCGGCAAGATATTTCTGTACATGAAATTGCATTTGCTTATCTGGTTTTGAAGGCAAAATGAAGAGAAGCTACTAAATTACATTCGAGCCAACCAACAGAAGGAAAACGTCAAATGCAGTGGGCGAATAAGCAACTGTGTAGTCAAGAGCGAATCGCGTATGTCTTTAAAAATACTACCATGGGACCCCATGCGTAAAGGGAACATCTATTTACAATGACGGGCACTAGCCAACCAGAATAACGAAATGTAGCGTTAAAACAAATGTCACGAAACGAACGAGAATAATAAGTGCAGACCCAAAAATTAAAAACGAGTACAATAATTGTGTGACAACTAAGTGTTCCTTTAACATAACCAAGTAGAAAAGTGATAAGGAAAATCATTGTAATGTGTTCTTGCAAACGGCACTGCTGAAGATGACACGGAGATGAGCGTCCATCAACAATGACGTGTGTACCAATCAGACTAACAAAGTGGAGCGTTTACACAACAGTCAAGAATTGGAAAATAGGGAGAATAGAGGATGGCTATTAAGGTCGTTCAAAAAATTGAATGTCACATAGCCATTCTCCTAACTTGAACCATGCTCAATGTGACAAATATTGGCGCCCGACATGAAAGGCAGTGCGATTTTAGCATATAGCCGTGTAGATAGTCGCCATGCGATTGGCTGTTACCAACGCGACAGTGAAAACGACTAGTATGCAATGATTACTGCCACAACAAGTTGAAACACTTCCGGAGCCAAACACAGTGGTTCTCACTGTTACATTGGACGCACGATCAAGCAATTAGAAAACCGAATCAAGGAACATCTACCGAATTTGCTCATCAACCGATAGGACAGAACTAA